GATCTGGCTGTGGACAGCCTGTGCCGGGGGGTGTTTGCCGGGGACAGTCGGGCTCTGTGTCACTGTGTCACTGTCACTGTCCCTGTGTCACTGTCACTGTCCCTGTCCCTCAGGTGGCGGATCTGGCTGTGGACAGCCTGTGCCGGGGGGTGTTTGCTGGGGACAGTCGGGCTCTGTGTCACTGTGTCACTGTCACTGTCACTGTCACTGTGTCACTGTGTCACTGTCACTGTGTCACTGTCACTGTGTCACTGTCCCTGTGTCACTGTCCCACAGGTGGCGGATCTGGCTGTGGACAGCCTGTGCCGGGGGGTGTTTGCCGGGGACAGTCGGGCTCTCAGCGTGCGCAGCTGCTTCCCCGCGCTCTTCCAGGCCGAGCGACGGCGCGGCTCCGTCCTGCTGGGGCTGGCACTGCCATCGTCACCGTCACACGGTGGGGACACAGGGGACACTGCTGGGGCTGGCACTGCCAGCTCCGTCCTCCTGGGGCTGGCACTGCCACCATCACTGTCACATGGTGGGGACACTGGGGACACTGCTGGGGACACTGCTGGCTCCGTCCTGCTGGGGTTGGCACTGCCACCGCCACTGCCACACGGTGGGGACACTGCTGGGGACACTGGGGACACTGCTGGGGACACTGCTGGGCTGGCGCTGGCACCTGGTGGCCACAGGGACAGGGCGATATTGTGAAGACACCCGGGGGCTGGGGACAGGGGACACCCCAGGGCTGGTGACATTGTGGGAACACCCTGGGGTTGGGAATACAGCGGGAACACCCCGGGGATGGGGGCAGGTGACACTGCCGGGACACTGCGGGGTTGGGGACAGTGCGGGCCCCTCCCGGTGCGTTGTCACCGTTGTCACCGGTGTCCCCGCAGGTGTCCCCGCGGGCGCGGACCCGGCGGGGCTGGCGCGGCGGGCGCGGGCCGAGCGCTGGAGCCAGTGGTCGCTGCGCGGGGGGATGGAGGCCCTGCCACGAGCCCTGGTGGCCTTCGTGTCCCCACGCGGGGCCGAGCTGCGCTGCCACGCGCCCCTGGCACGCCTGTGTCACCGCCGTGGCCGCTGGCAGGTGGGGACGCGCCCGGTGCCACCCCCCGGTGCCACCCTCCGGTGTCACCCTCCCATGTTACCCTCCCGTGTCACCCCCCGGTGTCACCCCGGGTCCCCTTCCCACTCTCCATCCCCCCCAGCCCATGTCCTCCAGTGCTCTGTCCCTTCCCAGTGTCCCCGGCCACCCGGGCCAGTCCCCAGTGTCCCCTCCCCAGTGTCCCCAGTGTTCCCAGTCACCCCGGCCCAGTGTCCCCAGTGTCCCCTCCCCAGTGTCCCCAGTGTCCCCAGTGACCTGGGCCCAGTGTCCCCAGTGTCCCCTCCCCAGTGTCCCCATTGTCCCCAGTGTGCCCTCCCCAGTGTCCCCGTTGTCCCCAGTGTCCCCAGTGCTGTCCCTGCTCCCTTCCCCAGTGTCCCCACCATGTCCCCCTGTGTCCCCAGTACTGTCCCCAGTGTCCCCAGTCCCCTCCCCAGTGTCCCCAGTGCCCCCAGCACTGTCCCCAGTATCCCCATTGTCCCCAGTGTCCCCACTCCCTTCCCCAGTGTCCCCACCATGTCCCCCTGTGTCCCCAGTACTGTCCCCAGTGTCCCCAGTCCCCTCCCCAGTGTCCCCACTCCCTTCCCCAGTGTCCCCACCAAGTCCCCCTGTGTCCCGAGTCCCCTCCCCAGTGTCCCCAGTGCCCCCAGCATTGTCCCCAGTGTCCCCATTGTCCCCACTCCCTTCCCCAGTGTCCCCACCATGTCCCCCTGTGTCCCCAGTACTGTCCCCAGTGCTGTCCCCAGTCCCCTCCCCAGTGTCCCCACCAAGTCCCCCTGTGTCCCCAGTCCCCTCCCCAGTGTCCCCAGTGCCCCCAGCACTGTCCCCATTGTCCCCAGTGTCCCCATTGTCCCCACTCCCTTCCCCAGTGTCCCCACCATATCCCCCTGCGTCCCCAGTACTGTCCCCAGTGCCCCCAGTCCCCTCCCCAGTGCTGTCCCCAGTCCCCTCCCCAGTGTCCCCGCCGTGTCCCCACCGTGTCCCCCCGTGTCCCCAGCTGTCGCTGCCCGATGCCACCATCACGGCCGATCACGTTGTCAGCGCCATCCCTGCCGCAGGTACGGCCGCGCCCGGGGCGGGGCGGGCGGGTCCCGCCGTGTCCCCCGTGTCACTGATGTCCCCGCTGTCCCCAGCCCTGGCCCGGGCGCTGCCGCCCGAGGCGGAGCCGCTGGCGAGGGAGCTCCGGGCGATCCCGGCCGCCTCCGTGGCCGTGGTCAACCTGCAGTACGAGGGGGCCGCGCTGCCGGTCACGGTGAGAGCGTCCCCGCCGTGTCCCCAAACCCCGCCGTGTCCCCAAACACCGCCATGTCCCCAAACCCCCCAGTGTCCCCAAACCCCCCGGTGTCCCCAAACCCCCTGGTGTCCCCAAACCCTGTGGTGTCCCCAAACCCCGCCGTTTCCCAAGCCCTGTGGTGTCTCCAAACCCCCGGTGTCCCCAAACCCTGTGGTCTCCCCAAACCCCCCGGTGTCCCCCCAAATCCCCCAGTGTCCCCAAACCCCGCGGTGTCCCCAAACCCCCCGGTGTCCCCAAACCCCGCCGTGTCCCCAAACTCCGCGGTGTCCCTGAGCCCTGCAGTGTCCCCAAATCCCCCAGTGTCCCCAAACCCCGCGGTGTCCCCAAACCCCCCGGTGTCCCCCCAAACGCGGTGTCCCCAAACCCCCCGGTGTCCCCCCAAATCCCCCAGTGACCCCAAACCCCATGGTGTCCCCAAACCCCGCGGTGACCCCAGCCCGCCCCCGCCCCCTGGCAGGGTTTTGGCCACCTGGTGCCATCCTCGGAGGACCCGGCGCTCCTGGGCATCGTCTACGACTCGGTGGCGTTCCCGGAGCACGACGGGACCCCCGTGACCCCCGGGAAACCCCCACTGCGGCTGACGGTGGGGACACCGCCGGGACACTGGGGACATCATGGGGGGACACTGGGGACACCAGCGGGGGACAGTGGGAACATCATGGGGGGACACTGGGGGCAGTGACAGGAGTGATTTGGGGGGCTCATGGTGGGCACACAGAGACACTGGGTGGGACACCGGGGACACTGGGGGGTGGCACTGGGGACATCGCGGGGGGGGCACTGGGGGGTGGCACTGGGACACCGAGAGTGGGGTGACACAGGTGATTTTGGGGCCCTGGCACTGAGTGACCCTGGGGACACCGTGGGTGTCACAGGGGTGACCCTGGGGACACCGAGGGTGGCACAGGGGTGACTTTGGGGGTCTGGCCGTGTCCCCCAGGTGATGCTGGGCGGGGCCTGGTTCCGGCAGAGTTTTGGGGACCCCGCCCTGGTGGCCCCCGAGCTGCTGCTGCGCCGGGCACGGGCGGCTGTGAGCGACCACCTGGGGCTGGCCGGGACCCCCACCCACGCCATCGTCAGGGTGCAGCAGGTGGGGGACACCGGGGGGCTCTGGGGGGTGACATCGGGGGGAGTGACATTTTGGGGGGCTCTGGGTGGGTGACATCGGGGAGAGTGACAGTTTGGGGGGCTCTGGGGGGGTGACATCGGGGGGAACGACAGTTTGGGGGGCTCTGGGTGGGTGACACTTTGCGAGGGGTGGTTTTGGGTGGGCGACATTCCAGGGAGGTTGGCACTTGGTGGGTGGGTGACACTCTGAGTGGGTGGCACTTGGGGGGGTGACACATTGGGGGGGCTCTGAGGGGCTCACCCGTGTCCCCCCCCACCCCTTTTTTCCCCCAGGACTGCATCCCCCAGTACACGCTGGGACACTGGGAGCGCCTGGGTGAGCGGGGCAGGGGTGGCTGTGTCCCCTGTCCCCAGGGTGGCCCTGCTGTCCCCAGGGGTGACCCTGCTGTCCCCGTGGGGATCCTGCTGTCCCCGGGGGTGGCCCTACCATCCCCAGGGGTGACCCTGCTGTCCCTGGGGTGGCCCTGCTGTCCCCGGGGGTGGCCCTGCTGCCCCGGGGGGATCCTGCTGTCCCCAGGGTGGCCCTGCTGTCCCCGGGGGTGGCCCTGCCGTCCCCGTGGGGATCCTGCTGTCCCCAGGGTGGCCCTGCTGTCCCCGGGGGTGGCCCTGCTGTCCCCTGGGGTGGCCCTACCATCCCCAGGGGTGGTCCTGCTGTCCCTGGGGTGGCCCTGCTGTCCTTGGGGTGACCCTGCTGTCCTTGGGGGTGACCCTGCTGTCCCCGTGGGGATCCTGCTGTCCCTGGGGTGGCCCTGCCGTCCCTGGGGTGGCCCTGCCGTCCCCGTGGGGATCCTGCTGTCCCCAGGGTGACCCTGCTGTCCCTGGGGTGGCCCTGCTGTCCCCGGGGGTGGCCCTGCTGCCCCGGGGGGATCCTGCTGTCCTTGGGGGTGGCCCTGCTGTCCCCGGGGGTGGCCCTGCTGTCCCCAGCGTGTCCCCAGCTGCCGTGGTGTCCCCCCAGAGCGGATCCAGCGCTTCCTGAAGGAGCAGCAGCTGCCCCTGAGCCTGATCGGCGCCTCCTACTCCGGGGTCTCCGTCAACGACTGCATCGCCAGCGCCAAGGCGGCCGTGGGGCGGATTTTGGGGTCCCCCCCGTGAGCCCGGCGATGCCCCCCCACTTCCTGCAGCCCCGGGGGTCCCTCTCAGCCGCTGGCGTAGGACAAAATGATTTTTTTTTTTAATTGAAAAAAAACCCTTTAGAAAGGTCCAGGGAGCGGCTCATAAATAGAATAAATACCCGCGCGCCCGAGCCGGGGACCCAGGGGCAGGGCTGGGCGAGCGCCGTGTCCCCTCGGGGGGTGTCCCCTGTCCCTCCTGGGGGCGTCCCCTGTCCCCCCGGGGCCGGCTGCCCCCCACGCCGGCCTCGGGGGTGGCGGTTCAGGGCGGGGGTGCCAGGCTGTGGTTGCCCCGCGGCGCCGCGGCCGCGCTGGCGTTGCGGGCGGGCGGCAGCGCGGGTGGCAGCGGTGGCAGGTCCCCGCGGGGGGACTTGCGCAGCATCTCCTGGCGGAAGCGGCTGGCGCCGCCGGCCTGGGGGGCGCGGGGCCGGGCGCGGGGGTCGCAGCCGATGTCGGCCGTCAGGTTGGTGTAGAGCGGGCGCAGCTCCCGCGCCAGCAGCGCGTAGCTCAGCGAGTTCATCCCGTCCTGCGTCCACGTCCGCTGCGTCCGCACCAGCAGGTCGAACCTGGGGCGTCACCGCGATGTCACCGCGCCGTCACCGATGTCACCCGGCCCCGCCGTCCCCCCCCGAGCCACCCCCGCAGCCCCGGACCTGTGCGGGTTCTCCTCGTTGCCTTTGTCGCTCTTGTGCTTCACCATCTTGTAGTGGCCGATGGAGACGGGCGGGCGGGAGATCTTCATCCCGGCCAGCCGCACCCTGCGGGGACAGCGGGGACGTGGCACCGGGGACAGTGACACCGGGGACAGCCACAGCCCTGGGACAGTGGGGACAGTGGGGACATGGCACCGGGGACAGTGACACCGGGGACAATGGCACTGGGGACAGCGGGGACAGTGACACCGGGGACAGCCACAGCCCTGGGACAGTGGGGACAGTGGGGACATGGCAGCGGGGACAGCAGGGACAGTGGGGACAGCGGGGACAGTGACACCGGGGACAGCGGGGATGTGGCACCAGGGACAGTGGAGACAGTGGGGACGTGGCATTGGGGACAGCTGTGTCCCCCCCAAGGTGACAGGACACCCCCAATGTTCCCCCCAGGGCACTGTCACACCCCTTGTGTCCCCCCCAAGGTGACAGGACACCCCCAATGTTCCCCCCAGGGCATTGTCACACCCGTTGTGTCCCCCCAAGGTGACAGAACCCCCCCTGTGTCCCCCCCCAGCTCGGTGGGCACACCCTCCCCTGCTGCCACCCCCTGAGTGCCACCCCCCCGTGCCGTGGCAGTGTCCCCTGGCTGTCCCCAGCCCTACCTGGTGGCGATGTCATCGTCCTCGCCCCCCCAGCCCCAGTACTCGTTGGGGAACCCGTTGATCTTCATGTACTGGTCGGGGGTCAGCGCTGAGACCCCCCCGAAATACTGCGGGTAGGGCAGGCTGGGGACACGGGGACAGTGAGCCAGCTGTCCCCAGGGTGTCCCCAGGGTGTCCCCAGGGCGGGGCTCACCTGTAACCGAATTTGTTCATGGCCACCGAGGCGTGTTTGGGGTTCCAGGGGTCGCAGGTGTAGAGGTTGTGGTCGTTCTCGGGGATCAGGTCCACGTCGTGCAGGAACAGGCAGTCCCAGTCCTCGTCCTTCAGAGCCTCCTTCACGCCCACGTTCAGCAGCTTGGCCCGGTTAAACGTGCAGTTCCCGGCCTGGGGACACCCCAAAATCTCCTGGGGTCACCCCAAAATCCCCTGGGGTCATCCCAAACCATCCCCTCAAAACCATCCCTTCACGCCCAAGTTCAGCAGCTTGGCCTGGTTAAACGTGCAGTTCCCGGCCTGGGGACACCCCGAAAGGTCTTGAGGACCCCCCAAACCACCTCAAACCACCCCGAGGACCCCCCAAACCACCCTGAGGACCCCCAGTGCACCCTGAAAAACCCCCAAACCACCGTGGGGACCCCCCAAACCACATCAGAGCACCCTGAAGACCCCCCAAACTACCCTGAAAAACCCCCAAACCACCCTGGGGACCCCCAAAACCACCCTGAGGACCCCCCAAACCACCCTGGGGACCCCTCAAACCACCTCAAGTCTACCTTAGGACCCCCCAAACCATCTCAAACCACCCTGGGGACCCCCCCAAACCACCCTGAGAATCCCCAGAGCACCCTGAGGAGCCCCCAAACCACCTCAAACCACCCTGAGGACCCCCAAAACCACCCTGAGGAGCCCCCAAGCCATCCTGAGGACCCCCAAAACCACCCTGAGGACCCCCCAAACCGCCCTGAGGTCCCCCCAAATCACCCTGAGGATGTCCCAAACCACCTCAAATCACCCTGGGGTCCCCCCANAAACCACCCTGAGGACCCCCCAAACCGCCCTGAGGTCCCCCCAAATCACCCTGAGGATGTCCCAAACCACCTCAAATCACCCTGGGGTCCCCCCAAACCACCCTGAGGACCCCCCAAACCGCCCTGAGGACCCCCCAAATCACCCTGAGGAAGTCCCAAACCACCTCAAATCACCCTGGGGTCCCCCCAAACCACCCTGAGGACCCCCCAAACCGCCCTGAGGACCCCCCAGATCACCCTGAGGATGTCCAAACCACCCTGAGGACCCCCCAAACCGCCCTGAGGCCCCCCCAGATCACCCCCCTGCCCACCTGGTGCACGACGTAGATGCCGTAGGCGAGCTGCTGGCGCTGCAGGAAGGGGTGCAGGTAGTAGAGCAGGTGGCCCAGGTGCGCCTCGCGGTTGCGGTGCGGGACGATGAGCGCCGTGCGGGAGCGGGGCTCGCAGCGGGGCGGCCGGTACCGGCCCCCCGCCCGCACCGCCGGGTTCTTGGCCTGGATCTGCTCCAGCGACGGCACCCGGGCGAAGGACACGGCCAGCGGGCCCACTGCGGGGACAGGGGTGTGTCCCTAAACCCCAAACTGGGATGGGCTTGTGTCACCAGTCCCAAACTGGGCTGGGGTTTGTCCCCAAACTGGGCTGGGTTTGAACCCAAACTGGGCTGGGGGTGTCCCCAAACTGGGATGAGTGTGTCCCTAAACCCCAAACTGGGATGGGCTTGTGTCACCAGTCCCAAACTGGGCTGGGGTTGTGTCCCCAAACTGGGATGGGCTTGTGTCATCAAACTGGGACGGGGTTGTGTCCCCAAACTGAGATGGGCTTGTCCCCAAACTGGGATGGGTTTGTTCCCAAACTGGGATGGGGGTGTGTCCCCAAACTGGGATAGGCTTGTCCCCAAACTGGGATGGGTTTGTCCCCAAACTGGGATGGGGATGTGTCCCTAAACTGGGAGGAGGTTGTGTCCCTAAACCCCAAACTGGGATGGGTTTGTCCCCAAACTGGGATGGGGGTGTCCTCAAACTGGGATGGGGTGTGTCCCTAAACTGGGATGGGGTTGTGTCCCTAAACCCCAAACTGGGATGGGTTTATGTCACCAGTCCCAAACTGGAATGGGAGTGTCCCTAAGCTGGGCTAGATTTGTCCCCAAACTGGGCTGGGTTTGTCCCCAAACTGGGCTGGGGGTGTCCCCAAACTGGGCTGGGTTTGTCCCCAAACTGGGCTGGGGGTGTCCCCNAACTGGGCTGGGTTTGTCCCCAAACTGGGCTGGGGGTGTCCCCAAACTGGGCTGGGTTTGTCCCCAAACTGGGCTGGGGGTGTCCCCAAACTGGGATGGGTTTGTCCCCAAACTGGGCTGGGGGTGTCCCCAAACTGGGATGAGTGTGTCCCTAAACCCCAAACTGGGCTGGGTTTGTCCCCAAACTGGGCTGGGGGTGTCCCCAAACTGGGATGGGTGTGTCCCTAAACCCCAAACTGGGATGGGTATGTCCCCAAACTGGGCCGGGTTTGTCCCTCCCGGTCCCAGCCCGGCCAGCCCCGCCCCGATTTCCTGTCCCGGGGGGAGGGGAGGGAACCGGTTCGACCGGTTCTTCCTCCCGGGGCAGGCTCGGGAGCGGCGGGAACCGGATCGGTCCCGGGGGCAGGACCGGAACCGGTTCATTACCATGGGCGAAGGACCGGAACCGGTTCTTTACCGGGGGCAGGACCGGAACCGGTTTCTCCGCCCCGGGGAGGGGTCACTCCTCGCTCCTTCCCTCCCGGGTGGTCCCCGGTTCTTTCCCCCTCCGGTTCCTCCCCTTGCGTTCTCTACCCGGTGCTCCCGTTCCCGTGCCGGTTCCTCCCCCCGGGACTCTCCGTTCTCTGCCCGGTTCCCTCCCCGTTCCCTCCCGGTTCCCGTCCCGTTCTCTCCCCGCTCCCTCCCGGTTCCCGTCCCGTTCTCTCCCGGTTCCCCCGCCGCTCTCACCGAGGAACGGCGATCTTTCCGGGCAGAACGGCAGCGGCCTGGCGGGGTCCGGCGGCGCGTCGGGGCCGTTCCCAGTGCCGCCGCCGGTAGCCACGCGGCTCAGGTTGGCGTACACGTCGTGGGTCCGGGAATAATCCACGGCGGGACCGGCGGCTCGACCGAACAGCGCCGTGAGGTTCCGGAACCCGCCCAGCGAGAAATACGCCACGAAGGCGAACTGGCACCCGACCAGCAGCGCCAGCGAGCACGGTCGCTCCAGCAGCCGCCGCAGCATCGCGGGGCCGCCCGGTGTTACCGGGGAGCCGCCCGGTGTTACCGGAGACCCGCCCGGTGTTACCGGAGAGCCGCCCAAGCGGCTCGGGGCAGCATGGCGGGGGCACCGGGGCTGCCGGACAGAGAGGACACGGCTCGGCTCGGTGGCGGGGGATGGATCGGTGCCGTTCCGGTACCGGGAACGGTCCGGTTCAGTCCCCGCCAGTCTCCGGTGCCGGTCCCGCCTCAGCCCAATCCGGCCCCGGTACTGCCTCCCCCACCGAGTCCCGCCGGTCCCGGTACGGCCTAACTCCGGTACTACCCGGCTCCTCCCGGTCCCGGTGCAGGCCTGAGGCCGGTTCTGCCCTGCCTGGCCCCGGTGCTGCTCCCCTCTCCGCTTCCAGCCCCGGTCCCGGTCCTGCCCTCCCGGTTCCGGTACCGCCCCGGTACCACCGGGCCGGGCTCAGCGCTCCGGGCAGTCCCCGCGGGTCACCCCCGGTCCCGTCCCGGTACCTGCCCGGGCCCGGCTCAGCCCCGCCCGGCCGCTGCCATCTTGGAGCGGAGGGCGCGGCGTGATGACGTCACGGGGCGGGCGCGCGGCGGGGTCACGCTCCGGCCGCACCGGGCGGGACCGGGGAGCACCGGGGGGGTCCCGAGGGGTCGCCGGTGGCGCTCGGTGACCCCAGGGAAGGGCGCGGGGCCCGCAAGGCCCCGGTAATGCCCCGAGAGGCTGAGGGGGCGTGGTTTATATGAGCCCCGCCCCGAGTGGGCGTGGCCACGGTGGGCGACGTTGCCCTGGCAACCGCGCCCGGCCGCGCTTGTGCCCCCGCCCACTCGTGACGTCACGAAGTGCGCGCGCTGTGATTGGGCGCGGGGTGGGCGGGGCGAGCGCGCGCGCCACGTGTGGCACCCCCCCCCCCCATCCCGTGTCCCCCCCGTCCCCGGGGTGTCCCCGCAAAGAGGAGACCCCAATAAAAGCCCGTTCTGGGTCAAGCTGGGGATGTTTTTGGGAGACAGCGCGGTGTCACTCCCGGGAAGCGCCAGGTCAGGGAGGGGACCAGGTCATGTCGGGCAGGGACAGGGAGGGGACAGGAGGAAGGGAGTCACCGGCACCCGGCATCCCCGTGTCACCACGGGCACCTCCGGCCGCGGCCGTCCTGTCTCCGTCCCTGTCCCCATCCCTGTCCCCTCTGTCCCCGTCCCTCTGCCCGTAACAAAGATGGCGCCGCCCTCAACCCTCACGTTACCAAACATAGTAGCGACCTTGCCCTCACCTACAATGCCGGCGCTCCAGCCATGGCGTCTCTACGCATGCGCAAAACTTCTGCCCGCACCCGTCATGGCGGCGCTCGCATCTGCCTTTGCCCTTCCCAGCCACGGCCAAGCCCACGATGGCGGCACGTCTGCCCACACCCAGCAAAGAGCCGCTCATTGCCTCTGCCCTTCCCGCCCGCGGCGCCCACACCAACATGCGCATTGCAAATAGGATGATAGCGGGAGCTCTGCCCGTACCCAACATGGCGCTCTGCACGGCTTCTGCCTTTCCCCGCCACAACGCCCCCCGCGCATGCGCAGCTCCAAGGGCACGATGGCGGCGCTGCGGGCGCTGTGGCGGCTCCGCAGCCCCTCAGGGCTGAGGGCTCGGCTGGGCCCGGCCCCGGCCCGGTGAGCCCGGGGGGACACGGCGGGGGTGGGGGGGAGGCTGAGGGGATGGCCCCGCTCACCTCCCGGGCCCCGCAGGTGCCGCCAGTGGCAGCCCGACATGGAGTGGGCGCAGCAGTTCGCCGGGGCCATCATGTACCCCAGCAAGGCCACCGAAAAGTGGGTGCCGCCACCCTGGAACGGTGAGGGGACAGCGGGGACCCTCTGGGAGGAGGGGGGGAGGGGGCTTTGGGGGACCCTGAGGCCTTTGGGGGGGCTCAGGAGGGGTATCAGGGTCTCTGGGGGGGTTTTAGGGGTGTCCTGAGGGCTTTGGGGGGGCCCAGGAGGGGTCTCAGAGCCTTTGGGGGGGCTCTAAGGGTGTCCTGAGGGCTTTGGGGGGCTCCAGGAGGGGTATCAGGTCTTTGGGGGGCCCAGGAGGGGTCTCAGGGGCTTCGGGATGGTCTTGGAGGGATGCTAAGATCCTAAGTAGGGCTTAGGGAGGGTTTTTGGGAGCTGTGGGGTCGTTTGGAGGTCACTCAGAGCAGCTTGGGGTCACTTAGGGCAGTTTTGGGGTCCCTCAGATGTGTTTTGGGGTCCCTCAGATCAGTTTGGGGTCCCTCAGATCAGTTTTGGGGTCACTTGGAGAACTTTGGGGTCACTCAGGGCACTCAGGCTCCCCACAGATCCTCAAGCAGGTGCCGCTCCCTCCCTGCCCCCAGCATTTGGGGGGTTCTGTGCCCTCCCTGGGGGGCTGTCCCCGTGTCCCTGACCCCTCTTGGGGGGATGTCCCTGTGTCCCTGACCTCTGTCCCTGACCCCTGGCCCTGTCCCTGACCTCTGTCCCTGACCCCTGGCACTGTCCCTGTCCCCTGTCCCTGTTCCCTGTCCCCTGACCCTGTCCCTGTGTCCCCAGACAAGGACCCGGTGGCTCACAAGAAGGTCGCCAGCCTGACCATCAACTTTGGGCCGCAGCACCCGGCGGCTCACGGGGTCCTGCGGCTGGTGCTGGAGCTCAGCGGGGAGACGGTGAAACGCTGCGACCCCCACGTGGGGCTGCTGCACCGCGGCACCGAGAAACTCATCGAGTACAAGACCTACCTGCAGGTGATCCATGGGGTCCCGAATTCCATGGGATCCCTGAGATCCCCATCCCTGACATCCCATTTCCCTGCAATCCCATTTCCCTTAAACCCCATTCCCATGGGATCCCCACGTGGGGCTGCTGCACCGCAGCACCGAGAAACTCATCGAGTACAAGACCTACCTGCAGGTGATCCTGGGGTCCCGAATTCCATGGGATCCCTGAGATCCCTGACATCCCATTTCCCTGCAATCCCATTTCCCTTAAACCTCATTCCCATGGGATCCCCACGTGGGGCTGCTGCACCGCAGCACCGAGAAACTCATCGAGTACAAGACCTACCTGCAGGTGATCCATGGGGTCCCGAATTCCATGGGATCCCTGTCCCTCTGTCCCTGAAATCCCAAATTCCATGGGATCCCCGTCCCTGAGATCCCCATCCCTGAGATCCTGTTTCCCTGAAATCCTCATTCCCATGGGATCCCCACGTGGGGCTGCTGCACCGCGGCACCGAGAAACTCATCGAGTACAAGACCCACCTGCAGGTGATCCATGGGGTCCCAAATTCCAGCCCTCCATCACTCCCAGCCCTCCCAGTATTTCCAGTATTCCCAGTACTTTCAGCACTCACAGTCCTCCCAGCAGTCCCAGTATTCACATCACTCCCAGCCCTCCCAGTATTCCCAGTTCTCTTGGTATTCGCAGCACTCGCAGTATTCCCATCACTCCCAATATTCCCAGTATTCCCAGTCCTCGTGGTATTTCCAGTGCTCCCAATATTCCCAGTATTCCCAGTCCTCCCGGTATTCCCATCTCTCCCAGCGCTCCCATCACTCCCAGTATTCCCATCCCTCCCAGCCCTCCCAGTGCTCCCAGTATTCCCAGTTCGGGGTTCCCGCAGGCGCTGCCCTATTTTGACCGCCTGGACTACGTGTCCATGATGTGCAACGAGCAGGCCTACTCGCTGGCCGTGGAGAAACTGCTCAACATCCGGCCCCCTCCGCGGGCCCAGTGGATCCGAGGTGAGGCTCCCCCTGGCATTCCCGGCTCCCTGCACCCCCCGGGATTTTTGGGATCACCCCCCCCTTTCCCCCGTTTTCCCAGTTCTCTTCGCCGAGATCACGCGGCTGCTCAACCACATCATGGCGGTGACCACGCACGCGCTGGACATCGGCGCCATGACGCCGTTCTTCTGGATGTTCGAGGAGAGGGAGAAGGTTCGGGGGGTTCGGGGGGTGGGCTTTGGGGGCGTGGGGGTGCCGGGGGGGCTGAGCAGCAGCGGGGTCCCCTCTGTCCCCCCCAGATGTTCGAGTTCTACGAGCGCGTGTCGGGGGCGCGGATGCACGCGGCCTACGTGCGGCCCGGCGGCGTGCACCAGGTGAGGGGCCGGGCCGGCTCCCCTTCCGTGGGATCCCCATTCCCTGGGGAACCCCATCCCTGGGATCCCCATTCCCACAGGAACCCCATCCCTGGGAACCCCATTCCCACAGGAACCCCATCCCTGGGATCCCCATTCCCACAGGAACCCCATCCCTGGGAACCCCATTCCCTGGGGAACCCCATTCTCATGGAACCCCATCCCTGGGATCCCCATTCCCTGGGGAACCCCATTCCCACAGGAACCCCATTCCCTGGGGACCCCCATTCCCATGGGAACCCCATTCTCATGGAACCCCCCTCCCTGGCACCCCATTCCCATGGGATCACCTGTCCTGTGTGTGCCTCCAGTCCCACCTGTCCCAATCCCACCTGTCCCTTGGGTCTCACCTGTCCCACCAATCCCATCAATCCCAACCCCTCCAATCCAACCTGTCCCACCCATCCCAACCCTATCAATCCCATCTGTGTCACCTGTCCCTTGGTTCCTATTTGTCCCACCTGCCCCACCAATCCCACCTGTCCCACCTGTCCCACCAATCCCACCTGTCTCACCTGTCCCACCAATCCCATCAATCCTACCTGTCTCTTGGATCCTATTTGTCCCACCAATCCCACCTGTCCCTTGGGTCCCACCTGTGCCAGGACCTGCCCCTGGGGCTCATGGATGACATCTACGAGTTCGTGAAGAACTTCTCCATCCGGATCGACGAGGTGGAGGAGGTGAGGGGGGACCTGGGGACACGGGGAGGGGACAGCCGGGGGCTGGCACCTGGCACCTGGGAGGGGCAGGGCCACCCATGGTGGGGTGAGGGGACAAAGATTGGGGTGGAGGGGGACAGGGACAGGTGAGGGGTGCCAGGGACAGGTGAGGGGTGTGAGGGATACACAGGTGATGATGGCAGGGACAAGTTTTGGAGCGAGGGGGACAAGGAACAGGTGCCAGCAGAGGGCCAGGTGGCAGTGCCAGGGCAGGTGCCAGGTGTGCCAGGGCAGGTGCCAGGTGTGCCAGGCATTCCTGCCGTCCCCAGATGCTGACCAACAACCGCATCTGGAAGAACCGCACCGTGGACATCGGCGTCATCACGGCCGAGGAGGCGCTCAACTACGGCTTCAGGTGAGCCGGGGGGGCCCCGGGTGCGCCCCGGCCCGCGGGGCCCAGCCTCAGGTGCCATTTTTGGGGTGTCCCAGCGGGGTGATGCTGCGGGGCTCCGGGATCAAGTGGGACCTGCGCAAGACGCAGCCCTACGACGTCTACGACCAGGTGGAGTTCGACGTGCCCATCGGCTCCCGCGGCGACTGCTACGACAGGTACGGCCTCACCTGCCCAGGGGGGCGTGGGGGGCATGGGGGGTGCCCCCCATCCCCCCTGGGGCTGCCAGTCCTGGGATTGATGGGCCAGGGGTCGCTGGGTCCCCAGCAGCAGGACCCCCATCCCATGGGAACCCATCCCATGGACCCCATCCCAGGGACCCCCAGGACCCCCATCCCACGGGAACCCATCCCATGGACCCCCATCCCACGGGAACCCATCCCATGGACCCCCATCCCACGGGAACCCATCCCATGGACCCCCATCCTATGGAACCCATCCCTGTGACTCCCATCCCATGGGTACCCCATCCCTAAGACCCTATCCCCCTATCCCAGGGATCTCCATCCCATGGAACCCATCCCATGGCACCCCATTCCCATGGGAACCCCATCCACTTTTGGGGTGCAGGTACCTGTGCCGTGTGGAGGAGATCCCCTGTGCCTTTTTTGGGGTTCAGGGGATCCCCACACCCCGTTTTCGGGGCGCAGGTACCTGTGCCGCGTGGAGGAGATGCCCTGTCCCGTTTTTGGAGCTCAGGGGATCCCCTGTCCCGTTTTTGGCGTTCAGGGGATCCCCACACCTCGTTTTTGGGACTCAGGGGATCCCCACAACCTGTTTTTGGGGCTCAGGGGATCCCCACACCCCGTTTTCGGGGTTCAGGGGATCCTCTGTCCTGTTTTGGGGTTCAGGGGATCCCCACACCCCGTTTTCGGGGCGCAGGTACCTGTGCCGCGTGGAGGAAATGCCCTGTCCCATTTTTGGGGTTCAGGGGATCCCTGTGCCTTTTTTGGGGTTCAGGGGATCCCCACACCCCGTTTTCGGGGTTCAGGGGATCCCCTGTCCCGTTTTGGGGTTCAGGGGATCCCCACACCCCGTTTTCGGGGCGCAGGTACCTGTGCCGCGTGGAGGAGATGCGGCAGTCGCTGCGGATCATCCTGCAGTGCCTCAACAAGATGCCGCCCGGCGAGATCAAGGTGGACGACGCCAAAGTGTCACCCCCGAAACGCGCCGAGATGAAGGTGACGTGTCCCCAACGCCGCGGCTGGCGTGGCACCGGGGCGGGTGGTACCAAAGGTTGGTGGCACCCAGGGCAGGTGGCACCAAAGGTTGGTGGCACCCAGGGCAGGTGACATCAAAGATTGGTGGCACCAAAGATTGGTGACACCCAGGGCAGGTGACACACAGCACAGGTGACACCAAAGGTTGGTGGCACCAAAGATTGGTGGCAGTGAGGGCAGCTGGCACCCAACACAGGTGACACCAAAGGTTGGTGGCATCCAGGGCAGGTGGCACCAAAGGCTGGTGACACCCAGGGCAGGTGGCACCAAAGGTTGGTGGCACCAAAGGTTGGTGGCACCAAAGTTTGGTGGCACCAAAGATTGGTGGCACCGAGGGCAGGTGGCACCCAGGGCAGGTGGCACCCAGGGCAGGTGGCACCCAGCATATGTGACACCAAAGGTTGGTGGCACCCAGGGCAGGTGGCACCCAAACACAGATGACACCAAAGGTTGGTGACACTCAGGGCAGGTGGCACCGAGGGCAGGTGACACCCAGCACAAGTGACACCCAGGGCTGGTGGCACCAAAGGTTGGTGACACTCAGGGCAGGTGCCAGCCCTGCAGTGCCACCTCTGTCCCCACAGACGTCCATGGAGTCCCTGATCCATCACTTCAAGCTCTACACCGAGGGCTACCAGGTGCCACCCGGGGCCACCTACACGGCCATCGAGGCCCCTAAGGTGACACTTCTCACCCGGTTTGTCCCTGGCACCGGCTCCATGCCAGCCCTGCCCCGTGTCCCCAACCCTGTCCCAATCATGTCCCCAACCCTGCCCCTTTGTCCCCAGCCATGTCCCCAGCCTTGTCATGCTGTCCTTGTGTCCCCAACCCCATCCCCAGCTGTGTCCCCACTGTCCCTATTGTCCCCATGTCCCCATTGTCCCCAATCCTGTCCCCATGTCCCCATGTCCCCATTGTCCCCATTGTCCCCAATCCTGGCCCCATTGTCCCCACAGGGGGAGTTTGGGGTGTACCTGGTGTCCGATGGCAGCAGCCGTCCCTATCGCTGCAAGATCAAAGCGCCCGGCTTCGCCCACCTGGTACGGCCTGGGCACACCTGGGCACACCTGGGGAACATCTGGGCACACCTGGGATACAGCTGGGCACACCTGGGATACACCTGGGCACACCTGGGCACACTTGGGAACATCTGAGCACATCTGGGCTACACCTGGGGAACATCTGGGGACACCTGGGGGAATATCTGGGGACACCTGGGGACACCTACAGACACCTGGGGAACATCTGGGCACACCTGGGCACACTTGGGAACACCTGGGGAACATCTGGGCACACCTGGGATACACCTGGGCACACCTTGGGGAACATCTGGGGACACCGAGGGCTCACTGGACATGGGGACAGGGAACATTGGAGGGTCCCTGTGGGGATTATTGAGGGTAATTAACACCTGTGGGTTAATTGCGGTCCCTGTGGGCCATTAATTGGCTGTTAATTGGCCATTAATTGGCTGTTAATTGCGGTTCCCCAGGCCGGGCTGGACAGGATGTCCCAGGGCCACATGCTGGCAGACGTGGTGGCCATCATTGGTACGTCCCCCTCCTCTTTTTTGGGGCTCCCTTCCCCATTTTTGGGGTCACCCTCCCATTTTTTGGGGTTCCCTTCCCCATTTTGGGAGTCCCTCTCCACTTTTGGGGTCCCTTCCCCATTTTTGGGGGGCTCTTTTCCTATTTTGGGACTTTCTTCCTCATTTTTCAGGTTTCTTTTCATTCTCTGTTTTTTTTTTTCTCTGTTTCAGGGCCTCCTTCCTTATTTGTGGGATTTCTTCCCTTTTTAGGTTTTCCCCTCATTTTGGGGGGGCTCTTCCTCAGTTTTCCCCTATTGGAATCCTCCTTCCCTTTTTTTGGGGGAGCTCCTTCCAGTTTGAAGGGGCTCCTTCTCCAATTTGGGGGGGTTCTTGCCCAATTTGGGGTCTCCTTCCCCTATTTGGGGTCCCCTTCCCCAGTTGGGGGGGTTCTTGCCCAGTTTGAGGTCCCTTCCCCAGTTTTGGGGGTCCCTTCTCCGTTTTGGGAGTCCCTCTCCCCTTTTGGGGTCCCCTTCCCCATTTTTGGGGAGTTCCTCTCTTTTTAGGGTCTCCCTCTCTTTTCTGGGTGCCCCTTCCAGTTTTGGGGTCTCCTTCCCCATCCCAACATCTCTTTCCAGGTTTGGGGGGGTCTCCCCCCAATTTTGGGGTGCCCTGACCCTCCTTTTCCCCCTGCAGGCACCCAGGACATCGTTTTTGGGGAGGTGGATCGATGAGGAGGGGTCCCCACCCCTCTCCGTGTGCTGCTGCAGTTTGGGGGTGCCCCGGCCCCCCGTTTCGAGTCAAATAAAGCCAAAATCGGCTCCGGAGCCTCCCTGTGCCCTTTGCCACCCCTTTGTCACCGCTGTCACCTCCTTCCCAGTTTGGGGGGGGCTCTTGCCCAGTTTAGGGGGTCTCTTACCCAGTTTGGAGTCCCTTTCCCCATTTGGGATCTCTGTCCCAAATTTGGGGGGGCTCTTGCCCAGTTTGGGGTCTCTCTCCCAGTTTGGGGAGCTGCTTCCCCAGTTTGGGTGGGCTCCTTCCCCAGTTTGGGAGGGCTCTTGTCCAGTTTGGGGGGTTTCTTTCCCAGTTTGGGGGGGTCCTTTTCCCTTTTGGGGGGGCTCCTTTCCCCTTTTGGGATCTCTTTCCCCTTTTGGGGTCTCTCTTCCAGGTGAGGGGGGGCTCCTTCCCCAGTTTTGGGGGGCTCCTTCCCCAGTTTTGGGGGTCTCCTTTCCCCTTTTGGGGTCCCTTCCCCTTTTGGGGCCTCTCTCCCACTTTGGGGGCGGAAGGAGCCCCCCAAAAAAGGGGGAAGGGCTTTCCCCAGAGCTCCCCCGTCCCGCGGGGATTTTTGGGGGGCTCTGCCGGCTCCGGGGGAGCGGCCGGACGTTGGTGGTGGCCGCGGGTGACACTTGGGGACAGCGGAAGGGAGGGAGGGAGGTGGCACTGGGGAAGTGGGGGAGGGGCCGTGGTCACTGCTGGCGGCGAGGGGACAGCGAGGGGACAATGGGGACACTGGGGACACTGGGGACAGCGGGGCCGCGCTGCCTGCTCGGCCTCGTCCTGCTGGGGGCGCCCGGCCTGGCCGCAGGTGGGCACGGGGGGGTTTGGGGTGTC